TATCTCCTTCTTGTCACTTCGTGCAGTAATCTCGCTTCCTTATTTGACTACAGATATTGTGACATATTTTTCTGCAGAAATTAAGGTCTAGTAGTGACCCTGGGCGTGTCTAAGAGTTTCGGAGGAAATTCACTCGGTACCGTTTTCATTTACCTGATCATTGCGGTGACTCACACGCAGCAGGATTACATTTTTTAAGATCATTGACCGAACTAGATGCGTTGCTCCTACGTGGTGTATTAAGTTTCGTGCGGAAATAATGATGAGGCATTTGGGGCGGTCAAGGTTGAGGGTCAAACGAGTTAAGAGGTTGTCACCATCATCAGAGACATCGTCATGAGTGATAAAATTTAGGTTCACAAGGGCACTGAGAGCATGGACGCTCGCACGTCAATGGCCGCGCACCTCCGTGTGTGCTCGTATGATAGCGACGTTTCGTCATTCCACTCGAGCCAGCTTTAACTGACCTTGCTTGACCTTGGACTATGTGGTGTGACCACAATTCGGTCTGCATTCTATTGAAAAAACAGAACTAGCACTCTGGTTTATAAAGGCAAGCCTAGCCACTTAATTCAGGTGAATTCTCTTTTAGAACTGAAATCTTTCGAAAGATGCTACCGCGCAATTACTGTTTCCAAAAGTACCTGCAAGAGGGCTGCCGGTCAGGTGAGGACAGCGGGTTTCAATCTCCGGGCCCAGCTGCTCGAACTGACGCGGCGATTCCAGCATCGTCAACAATGGCCACCTTCCCTCCATGCGGCTCCTATGGCATTTTCCGACTCGACGAAGACATGGCACATTTCTCTGCAAGGAGTGACTGCAAGTCTCCCGACGAAGCGGCACATCAGAGCAGTCAAAGTTGTTCGGGGTCGTCGCAGTCGTTGAATCAGATCACTCTTCCCACTGTACTCGTTGAGGGCTTCCGTGATGGCAAAATACAACTCAACGTTCCTGGCGTCTTGCAAGACCTCTTTTCACCACCCGATTCGATAAATGTGCAATTCAATATTGGTACACCGATTGAAGAATTGTCAGATATGGACATTTCAGATTACCAGCATTTACTGCACGCCGCGGAAGTCATACACAGGTGGAAATGGAAGCAGTACGCAGGCGAATCTCCCACACCTCGGTAGACCCACTTCCAAGCCAATCTCAGAGATGATCCGTTTGTTAGCCCCGGTTCTCCATCGAGTTGCTCCTAACCACCGATTTACCCAACAAATCAGTCTTATTTTTTATTCACACGACAATCGCATTTTATGTCAATTTGTATTTTTTGTATGTGTGTACTTACCAAAGACGCTTTTCACGTTTAGATTATCAATTTCCACGAAGTCAAAGAATACAATTTTATTTTTTAGCCGGGTGCCTTTTTACGATCTCGTTGTGCATGGAAGGTTAGTTTGGCAATGCGCGATGGGTGGAGGTCAAACGAACTAGTTGCTTTGATGGCCTATGTGGCAACAGCTAACACGGGGATTGCTCACATTCAAGACGAGACGCTTCGTGCTGGCGGACTGCGAGTTGCACTTCTGAAAGTTGCTCATTTTGGGCTATTTTGGAGTCGTTTTTTGGGGACCCAAGGTCAATCTTTATCTGTAGGTGTGATCCAGACATCACACCTTCGGTTCAAAGAGTATTTGGCAGGACGTGGCAGACTCTAGTATGTGCTGCCATGTAGCGAAGCCCACAAAGGCGATTGCACCAGACACTTGCTTCATCAAGTATGCTGCAGCCGTGTTCATTGCACCAAGTGATAGGTGTGAAGGTAGTTAGAATTTTAAGCTGTTGTGTCGTCTCTGAAAGTGCGTAGTTGGTGGTATTTTATGAACTAGCACGGGTTGTCGAGTCGATTTCTTGAAACCTCCTTATTGTCGAAAAGGTAGTTTTAGGCAAGAAAACACATAGAAGTCGTATATAGGAGTTAAGCGTGGTCGAGAATCGCCATGAATCCCAACCAACTTGTTGATAAGCGCACAAATCACATAACTGGCCAAGCCGTGGAAGTTGTCGACTTCCACGGCTGGTCGCACAGAACAGATGTTTGGATTGGAACCAAACAACTGCATCGCGCCTTCAATTTGAACCAAAACAACATTGAGTTCACATCAGTCGTCGCCTATTTAGCAATTCTCCTGACGCACGCTTAGATGCTTCATTTCCACAATTTTACAGCATTTGAGTTCGTCAGAAGAGACGCTAAGAATGAGCTATGTTTAATCGATTTGTAGTATCCTCGTCTTAGGAACATTTCGATATAAGTTCGGATACTAAATTTGAGTTCCATCGTCGATGTTTTGTTCTGCCACATTGAATTCATGCAGACGACATGACGTAGTTTTCAAGACAGCATCTTTCCAAACCCCAGTCGAGATACTAACCAGGGAAACTTTCTAGTTTGAGCCCTACTTTGGCGAGATCGTGATGATGTTTTAGTTTGAAGCTCGAGGAGTAGGAATCTGCCCAATGCAGATTCCACTCTAACGCTTCACTTCAAGTCAGTCAATTATGGAGGGGGAGGTTCGACACAGTGAACTGCGAATTCGTCATCGCTGCGTCAGACTTCACCCTTAAAATCGGGCTTGTGGGGGCAGAACGTCGATTGAAGTTGGAACAGGGAGCAAATATAAGCCCCGATTGTCACCGACTAAGACTAGAGTTCAACATGCGTCTGCGTCAATAGGCGCTGCTGTGGGCCTGACTTTGGCTGCATAGTGGGTATGAGAAAACCAGATCTCTTGTCTGAATCTTGACGAATCCCCAGGTGGATGAGGCAGTTATCTGAAAGTATCAACCGTGATATTACACCCACCACCTTACGGAACACAACAATTTCTCATTTTCACTCTCCCATTCCCGACAATACTTCACATTTTCAAAACAAATCAGACATGTGTACCTAAGAAGCACTCGTCGGTAAGGTGCGCCTGATCAGCGACATTAAACCTTTCCACATTCAGGCGATTAGCAACGAGTCATTAGCGCGACGAGGGCACTGATTGACCTTGCTGAGTTCGCTAGCACATATCAATGTTGCAGATGAAAATATAGTGCGATTTTGAGCAGGCATTTCACAAGTTATGTGGCTAGCAATGTATAATCGTTTAAAAACAGGCTGAAGACAACACCTTGAACATTCTTTCATCTGAAATCAGTTTTACCAGATCAAATGACCTCGATGGCACTTTGTGTTTACTAGGACAGCATGGATGGCCCAGATCAATGAAGGCAGGCACATTCGAACTGACAGAAGCAGTCTGCGATGGGGCCCAATTGAATGCATGGCACTGTGGGCATCGAGTCGAAGGACTTGGCCACCGCTAAATCAGGTAGCAATTAACTTGTGAATAATGCTGTGCGACAACGTGGTACCAGTGACACATGCACCTGAGATGACCTGTCGACTACACCTCAGACCGCGATGAGTGGCCTTGACCATAGTAGACTATAGCGAGTAATTTAATTGATGCGGACTGAGTAATGGACAATTGAGGGGTCATTCAGCAAATCGTAAAACACAGGTGATCCCTGAATTGGTGGTCACCATGGTCAGGCGGATAATTAACTTTTATTACACCGTTCTCAATTGTTAAACGACACTTCATCAACGGTTTGAATTGCACAAGCGATCGACTGGCTGGAAAAAAACACATCAAGTGTGAATCTCGATCTATAAATGTCTTCGTGCTCAAATTAATCCAAGGTTTACATTAGCACCCTCCACGCTGCCTTCATGCACTCATTGCCAACGCGGGGTAAAAGATGTTTACCTACACCAAAATTGGGAAGACAGCTAGTTGAAGTGGTCTATCACCATTTGTATGCCTTAATGATGATCGAACCGAACAAATTTGGGTTAGATATCGCTCTGATCGTGGTAAAACGA